AAATATAACTAATTATCATAATTAGTCCCCGTAGATTTAATTAGTCTCTTTTGATAACTAAATTAATTCCAAATTAATTCTTGATCCATACTAATTAAAACATATGATTTCATATTAATATATTATAACTTATAATATATTAATAAACCATAAATAACCTTCTCTCAAAAGTCCATCCTAACAAATTGTCTCGATGATATGCAACCCAAATGGACCATGCTACTCTCGGGTCGAATACATACCAATAATAGTTATGGCTTAGACACCTAATCCAACAGTATTTTCCCTTAGCGGAGTTTTCCTACAACAACAACCATCATTCGAGCATTGGTATGCCGCCCTTTGAGCTGTTGTATGGGAGGAGGTGTCGGACCCCCATTTGCTGGGGAGAAGTAGGGCAGCGTGTGATGGGAAGTACAGAGATTGTGCTTCAGACGACAGAGGAGATACAGCGAGTCATGCAGAGATTGTTGACGGCTCAGAGCCGCCAGAAGAGTTATGCGGATAGACGACGATCCAAGCTTGAGTTCCAGGTCGGTGACTATGTTCTCCTGAAGGTATCTCCTTGTAAAGGAGTGATTCGATTCAGGAAGAGGGGCAAGCTAGGGCCCCGGTATATCGGGTCATTCAGAGTAATCGCGACGGTAGGCAGGGTAGCGTATCGCTTGGAGCTACCTGCGTAGTTGGAGCGGATTCATAATACCTTCCATGTGTCTCAGTTGAGGATGTGTATAGCAGACGAGTCGGTGGTAGTGCCGCTAGAGGACATTCAGGTGGATGCGAGCCTGAACTACGCAGAGAGACCAGTTGCGATTTTGGATCGGAAGATCAAGATTCTGAGGAACAAGGTGTTGGATTAATGTCTAAGTCCATAACTATAATTGGTAATACTTGACCCGACCCGACATGGTCCATTTGGGTTATATGGCATCATGCACTTGGATAGACTGTAATGAGAGAAATAAGACACTTATGGTTATTAATATATTATAAGTTCTAGTATATTAATTATAAGAATAATAAGATTATTTAATTAGTATTGATCAAGAATTAATCTAGGATTAATTAAGTGATCAAAAGAAGACTAATTAAATATATGGGTTGATTGTACAAATCATCCATACTTATATAGTGGGCTAATTCTCCATGGATTATCTAGTTGGGCTAAAACCCATATGATGCTCCATGGATGCTCCATGGTGTTTTGTACCCATGGATCATGGAAATGAAAGGCCATGTCAATAAGGGTTTACATGGTGTAACCCTAACTATATAAGCATCTTATTCTTGACCAAAATCGGCCACTAGAGAGAGTAAGAAAGGGCTAGCCGATTTTCATGAGTGTAGAATTCTCTCAAGTTATTCCATGTGTATTTGGTGTTGTGTGAACCATTTGAGGTGTCACACTTGGGGCACTAGGCACTCAAGGTTCATGAAGACTTTCTAAATCAATGAGGTATGTAATCTATCTTGCTATAGTCATTGTTTTGTATGCTAGATTACGATAATGCCTTGGATGTTCATATTTGCATGTATAATAGAGAAAACATAAATCCAAGGTATTTAGAGTTGCATGTACACCTAGGAGTGTTAGAATGCTCAAAACCCATTACAAGGAGGTGCCCCGGGTACAAGTCCAGTGGCATCATCGGAAAGGGTCGGAGCTTACTTGGGAACCGGAGCGTGAGATGCCTGTGCAGTATCCGGAGTTGTTTTTAGAGTAAGACTTTGAGGGCGAAGTCTGATTCTAGTAGAGGAGAATTGTAACATCTGGATTCCCAGGTATATTATTATTCTTTTTTTTTTTTGGGTTTGTGAGGGAACTCGGCGAGTTGGCGCCAAGACTCGCCGAGTGGGGACACGGATGTTCATTATATTTCATGACAGAAATCAGCGAGTCCATTCGTGGACTCGGCGAGTCCACGTTGTTTAATGAAACCCTAATTTCTCGGGTTTGGGGCCTATTTAAAGGGCCTCATGGCCGTCATTTGTGCTCACTAACCCCCAAAGAGAAACCCTAGTGAACTTGAGCGTTTGGAGTGAGAGAAGGAGCCATTATCAACCTTGGAGGTGTTCTCTAGCAAGGGAAAGGAAGCTTTAGCCAAGAGCAAGCAAGAGGGTTAACTTCCTGAAGATCTGAGGTCTAGACCATCACGTTTGAGGTACTATTTTTGAACCATTTTTTGTTGAGGTGATGTTCATGTTGATTTAGGGCTTATTGAGCCCTTTTGTGATTGGATATAGTGCTCCCATGGTCCCATAAGTGAGTTAGGTTCCGGATTTAGACCCATGAAGGTTCGGAGTGCCTTTTTGTCCAAGCTTTATATGAGTCTATGGAGGTTTTGGTTTGGGATCATTGTGTATGAGGTTAAAACACCATTTATGATTCAATAGGTGTGATATAAGCGCCACGACATAAACTTTACGTGATAAATAAGCTTGGAAAGACTGGATCTATGAGCTAGTGGAATAGATCTGACCTCAGAAGGTCGTTTGGGGTTATGCATGGAATACACTTGCCGAGTCCATTGGAAGACTCAGCGAGTTGGAGCGAGTTATTTTGTGTTTTTGAACCAGGGGTTGGGTAACCGAGTTGGATGAGTGACTCGGTGAGTCGGAAGGGGTTCAGAGGAATCGGGTCCTCGTAGGGACTCAACAAGTCCACCCCAAACTCGGCGAGTTTGGTTGATTGTTGACCATTGACCAGAGTTGACCGTTTTTGACTTGATAGAGTTAGTCAATCCTAGTTGGGAAAGTGTTAATTAGAGATATATTTGTGTATAGGAGGACTATAGCTCGGGATATCAGGGATTTACGAGTTACCGAGATACGCAAGGTGAGTCTTATCACTATACTTTACCTTGAGTAGGTAAATAGAGTTATGTGATACAATGTTTTATATATATTGTTTGTTGCACTGCATTCTTCTAAGTGATTTATGATGTCAATGCTTGTAGAGTTAGACCTGAGGGTTCACAGAGTTTGGGTGCACGGACCCACAGAGTTATAGCCTCGAGTGGCTAATATGTGTTATATGTGGTATTTTGGGGAACTCACTAAGCTTTGTGCTTACAGTGTTTTGTGTTATGTGTTTCAGGTACTAGTGAGGATCGTGGGAAGGTGCCGGCTTGATCAATACATACACGGGATTTTTATGCTATGAGATCTTGGGATTGTTATATGTTATAAATTTAGTTTCAAACAATGATGTTTTTATGATTTACAAATGAATTATGTTTTTATAAATGCGAAAAATTGTTTTGGAAATTTATGGTGTTACAGATTGTTATATGATTTGAGCTAGTGTATGATATTTAAGTGCACATCGGTATCGATGCTATGTTAGTGACCGGTTAAGTCTGTATTCTGGTTATAGGATTTTGCTATGCAATTGATCTGTTAGATCGATTTATTGTCTATAGACTGTTATATGATTATATGTTATATGTGCACATGGTTGTTTGGTTGGGGCTTGGGTTGAGGCGGTCCTGCTATCTGTTGTAGGGCAACATACCAGGCGAGCGGTCCGGGCAGGCTGTAGGCCTTACAAGACAGCCCAGTCATGCCGAAGGCTTGGGAGCGGTCCACATAGGCTGTAGGCCTTCAAGGCGGTCCAGTCAGGCTGAAGGCTGATAATGCATGTTGTTCACTTATTTGCTATATGTTGTGATAATATTGGTATGGTGTTTGTATTTTGGGGGTAACTCACTTAGCCTTCAAGCTTACAGTTTCAGTTTATTGTTTTAGGTTCAGCCGATGACCGCGGGAAGGCGATGGCGTGACCGTACACTTCCTCGATTGATGATTATGATTTCTGGGAACTCTGATGTTTATACTACTTTGAAAACAAATTGTAGTAACTGAATGGTTTTAAATGATTTAAAAAGTTTTAAATTGGCTTGAATTTTATGGATGTTACATTTGGACTCTAGGGACCTCACTTGGTCCCGATCTGAAGTTCAACCCTCTCACTGAACATAAAACACTTAAGGTCCTCATGTTTGGGTGGAAAAACCCTAGATTCACAAAACCATGAGATCTAAACATAATAATGAGAAAGGTGCAAGCTTTATACCTGTCCATGAAGCTTTAAAGCAAAACAACCACAGATCCAACAACACTTTCTTGCCCCTTGGCCTGGAAATCTTATCTTCTCTTCACAAGATGCACCAAACACTCAAAAAATCACACACACACTCTATCTCTCTAAGCTCAAAGGCTGATTAGGGTTTGCTCTCAAGGAAGGGTAGCCGCAAATGAGGCTATAAGTGTCTTTAAATTGGTACCAAACCCGGGGATTTAAGGTTTCTCATCCTAGTGCCTACTCGGTGAGTCACCTCCACGGACTCGTCGAGTAGGTCATCATGGCACTTCGGGACTCTACTCGACGAGTTGGGGCATCGACTCGTCGAGTAGCTCAAAAATATAAATGAATAAGTAAATAAATAATATACCTGGATGTTCGGATGTTACACTTCAGCTTCTCTCACTATGCGAGCATTTTCATTGAGTTCAAGATCACGAGCCTTTCTTTTTAATTGTTCTTCTTCAGAATCATCACCTTCATCAGAATCTCCCATTGGTGTCTTCCCTTTATCAGCCTTTGTTTTGTCCTTTCTTTTCTCTCCCCCGTTGTTGTGGAAGGACAGGGACCTCCGGAACACCCTCTATTCTGTTTAACATAGAAATTGCAGGGCGAAGCTTGTTAGCGAGATGCCATCTGATGGTGATTGTTAGGATTGGGTTATAAGATTCGAGGAGGTTGGATAAGAGTAGTTAACATCACTCACAAAGCTTTTTATACCAGTTCACTTAGATTTGAGCTCGTCTACCTCCTGCTGGGCATGCTTGTACTTAACGGTTCGAGTCTTGAGTTGAGTTGTACGAATGGCAAGTTGGTCCATATTTTCCTTTCAACTGCTAAGTCTTCTTGAAATTTAGAAAGTATTGAAGATAGAATTTTGAAATGCAGACTTGTCAGCAAAAATATCAGCCCGAAGCTACACAATGGACTCTCGTTCTTTTCGCAGTGAAGCGTTGAGATTGGCGATGGCATTATGCATGTTTGTAGCTTTTTTTACAACCACTGTGTTGATCTTGGTTAGAAAGGCTTTTGTTTCAGAGACTAGTTTATCGACTTTTTCGGTCACTTGTAGACAATATTGAGTAGAATTTTCAACTGCTTTGTTGGCTTTGTCAAGATTAGCAGCATGTTCCTTAACAAGGGTGTCAAGCATACCCTTGACAGCGGCTTCAGAGTAAGCTTTGCTGGAAGAAATATTGGAAGAAGCAAGGATAGAATCCAGTTTCTCATTCAGGGCCTTCAATTCCTTCTGAGTAATGGGAGCATCTTCGTCACTATCGTCTTGAATAGAGAAAGTACTGTAATGGAATGTGTCAAAATTAAAGCCTTCTCCCCCAAGAATATCTTTGGAACCATGCAGTTGAGGAGAAACTGGAGATGTAGTAGATGTGGTGAAACTTGATGTCTTTTCCCTGCATCAGATGTGTTGACATTAACAAAAGGTCCGACTAAGGTAGTGGTAGTGGTGGTAGTAGTTTTTTTTGGTGAAAAGTGGTGGTGGTAAATGTGTAGAAGTGGGTGGTTGAGATGAAACAGGAGTTGAGCAAGGAGCAACAGAAATAGGAGTAGTAGTGTATTTAGGAGAAGGGGGTGGAGATGGAATGGTTTCAGTAATGATTACCTCAGGTGAGTCTTCACGATCCGAATCCTCCGATTCAGTGTGCTACTTTTCGTGTTCAACCCGATCATCCTGATCCGAGGAAACGCAGTCACTATCGCTTGATGATGGAGCTTTCAGCTTGAGAGTCATCTTTCGCAGCTTTTGCTTCTTAGAAACCAAAGGTTCAGCCGTTTGAGCCTTTCACTTCTTAGGGCTGCCGGTTTAAATGAGGGTCCCTCATGAATTTCCTTTCTTTTGTCCGCTTTCTTACCTCCTTTCTTTGACTTGTCAGTTTCATAAATGGAGCATTTCATTTCCAAAGTAAGGGGCCTTGGACCCGAAGCTAGAAGTTTCTTGTATTCGGTTATAATTTTGCTTGCATCCAAAACACACCTATACATTGACTCAGGAATTGACCCGATAAAAACAAACTTTGAAGAGTCTGATACGATGATCTTTGTGGTGTGGAAAGTAGCAATGGTAGACATTAAAGAATCCACCATGACAGGAACTCAAAATTTCTCCATAGCCCTCCAGGTAATGATGGTCCAGAATCTTCCACATGAAATCTCGGTGTGACAAGAAGAAGAATTCAAACTTTGAACAAACTAATTCCAGATAATAGATCCATAATTACGATTGATGCCATGATAGAATGGTCATGAAGGCTTTGCTAGCCCGATCGGATCCAGCTGCTCATTCTGAAAAGCTCTTAAAAAGAAGGGTAAACAACCCTTTCCATTGAGGAGGAAGGCATGATTTCTTGACCTTTGTGATAGTAGAGAGAAGATCAGTGTACACCATGTTGTAGAACATTTCGAAGAGTTGATCTGTAGTAATCAAGTCAAGATTCACCATGGAGTCCATATCGAGTAGCCCTACCAAAGAGCAAAACCTAATTTTGGAGACAGAAGTTTTTTTATCGAAAATCATAAACATGATACGTTCTTCATCCTTAACATACTTCGCCGAAGAGTAAACCTGAGATAAGAGTGACATAGGAACAATAACAACATTGGTTAAAGCGATTACCAATGGTGAGTATTTCAGACATTCAATGATCTGGAGCATGAATTCATCACACTTGAAAGGCATCAAGTCGATGATCAGGTCTTGGTTGTGTTTGATCGTGAGCAGAGTGGATTGGGCAGTGTGTTCTTTAATTGAAGATGGTTCTGCCATTGTAGAACCTTGGTGAGAAAGACGACCAGTAGAGAGTTTTTGCCTTTTCAATGCTCGAGGGTTTTTGTAAGTGGTGAAGAAAAATCCATATGGGAAATCCTTTTATATGATTATCAGGAGAGAGAAAATAGTGATGACGATTGCGTAACAAACTATGAAATGGCGCCTGAAAAAGTGCAAGCGACAAATATTCCTCCTAAAAAGTTGTCAGACGCCGTGATGATAGGGACGTTTCAAATTTCACGCGCCTTTTTGGTTTAAATTCTTATCCTCAAAGGGTGTCGTGTCATCAATAACTTGTTCCCAACATTTCAATTCCCAATCTTCACAATATGATACCATATACCCTTTCACTTTTAATTAACTTTTGGAAACGAATAATAAAATATCTGCGAAACAGAAAATGTCATCAGTACCACGAACAAGACTTTTGGAAAATCATGAGATTCTCGTGCAAGAGTGTGCCAAAGAAAAAGAAATAAAACAAGTTATATCTGTGGGATTTAAGTGATGTCATTAGAGACACAAAATTGTGGATCCTGGGCACGAATCGCTTCCTTCAAAGTCAAGAGAGACCAAGAAGTGCTTGTGTGGTTTCCCGTTAAAGTACAATAAATTGTTTGTTAAGAAACATTGAAAGGCATCTTTTAAGTTCGGCTTTAAGGGTGGCTTTCTCTTCAACCAAACTACGAAACTTGACATAAGTTCAAAAGTTGAGTGAAGTACGTGTGTGGCCATTGTAGCCTATAACATCAAGTATGTGTGAATCATTTTGACTTGGTGAAATTATAGTAATCTCAAAAACAAAATAAAACTTGATCTTTTGGGAAGAAAAGCCGTAGTTTAGACAATTTCAGAAAGATCTCACAAAAAAATAAAACACATTTCTTGGTACATACCACAAGAGTGGTTTTGTTAATGCATGGATGAAAAGCTAGAACATTCAATTGTTCACCGTCAATTCATTATGGTGTTGGATTGTGAGTCACACTTAGTACGTGGTTAAACAAAACTAAGATCATCAAGACAAACATTGTGTAACCATAAACCTCAGTGGTAATTTCTGAGAGCCTCAAGGGTTACATTTAATGGAAACGAATGTAATGGAGAAAAATGGTGAGGTGGTTAAAGAACTGAAAGTACCTCTACTATACGAAAGTGACCAAGCAGATAACTCTTAACTCAATGTGAGATGCGTAAGGTAGCTCATGACTTAAGGGAATTTAGCAACCTAATTAGGAAGAAATGATTGGTGTATATCAATCCATTAAAGCGACACTGTAGAGTCAAATGAGGCTTTGGGCAACATAAAATAGCATGCTTCTAGGGACACTTAGCTAGTATATAGATTAAGAGATTATACCTTCCCCATGATGCATTGTTGAGACAAGCAGCAAATGCGTAATAATTTAGTTTAAACAAATAAAAGAAAATATTTTTTCATTTTTTGATATTTCTGAAAAAGAAACAAAAACAGAAAGGAAAAATATTTTTGTATTTCTGATTTTTTCTGAAAATAAATAAAAGCAGAAAGGAAAAATGAAATGCACAAAAAGTATACATAAAGTTTCAACTGGACGTTCGTTATTTGATGGATGAAGTGAATTATACGGAGTGTTCAGTATCATTCTATACTCGAATAAATCAGAACAGAAATAGATCGAGCCTTCTTTCTATTTTTCTTGTTTAAACTTCAATAAGGCGGAAGCGAAAGGTATACTCACGGAAGAAAAGCTGGTTTTGGTACATATAACACCCATAAAATTTAATCCAAATTTAATCTTTCCAAAAACATTTAAAAACCAATAGTTACTACAAGTTTGTTTCCAAAATAGTCTTTATCAGAGTTTTCCCATAATACATATCAAAATGTGAGGAGTGGTACGAACACTCCTTTGCCTTGCCTGGATCCCCTGATGTACCTGAAACAATAAACTGAAAATGTAAGCCTGGAAGCTTAGTCAGTTCCCCCAAAATAACCATACTCACAAATATACATATCATCATAAACACAATATACAATGGGTCCAGTCAACCATCGGGTTGGAATACCTTACGCCCTCAATCAGCAGGTTGGAATGCCAACACACTATGTGTCCAATCATCCTCGGGATGGAATACCCCAAGCCCTCAACCAATACATTTGAATGCCCCGGTCTATTGGCCTCCACACGAAGTAGATAAACCTCAACCACCAAACAGACATATGCACATATAACAGATAATCACATAACACTCTACAGACAATACTGACCTAACAGATCCTACCACATAGCTCATCATATCATCCTATCAACCAGGATACCGATCTAGCAATTCATACTACATATCATATAATATTATCCTACCCTCTATGATATCGATCTAGCATATCATTCTAGCATAACATAACTAGATACACTCCAAAAGGCGGCCTTGGTGCCATAGACCCTGAATATAGTGAGGATAACTCACTTCGCAATGTCGACTTGCAAGAATAAGCTCAAACACTTGGATCACTGACACGAACACCACCACCTATATTTATTACGAACCAAACTCTTAAATCTCCAATCTTTCTGAAACTGTCCTCAAAAGTCAACGGGTCAACTCATGGTCAAATTTATAGTCATCAGTCAAGGTCAACAATCCATGTTGACCTTAACTCGTCGAGTACCCTCAACTGCTCGCCGATTTTCTTTAATACTCGCCCACTCGCCGAGTCACCAGAGTGACTCGTCGAGTTCCTAAGGCTCGTGATCAAAGCTCTGACACCACTCATCAAGGTTTTGTGTGTGCAACTCGACAAGTTTATACACACCTAACGATTTGGGAAAACCCTAACTGACTTACCGAGCCATTATATAGGCTCGCCAAGTCTAAGACAATCTTCATTAGACTCATCGAGTTGTTCATCCAACTTGTCGAGTCCATGACCATCTTCAAATGACTCATCGTGTCATCCTTGCAACTCGCCGAGTACCTTAAATCCCTCATCGATACATAAGCTTTTTAATTCATGAAAAGGCTCCAAACTACAGATCTAAGCTTCTAGGGCATGATTATCATGTAAAGTTGCAACCTTTACGTGCATGCAAGATGGTATGACCCAAAACAAGCTAAAAGGAGTGGCTTAAGGCAATGGGAGTGGTCATAGCTTGGCAAATGCTAAACTTTATGATAAAGAGAGGCTAAAGGAACCCAGATCTGAGGTTTCAACCTCAGATCTTGACCCAAAACAGAGAATCACCACAAAACCCTAAAAATGGCTCTAAACCCAACCACATTGGGTTCTACTCAAAGGAGAATCAAGGTAACAACTTTTTAGCTTCAAAATGATGCCAACCCAAAGAAGAATACAGATCTACAACAGCCACTAGCTCCAACTTCTTGCACTCCAAGCTCTTAACTCCAAAGGATCCTCTTTCAAGGTCAAGAACACACACAAAAGAGGGCAAACACCAACTAGGGTTTTCTAGATTCAAGAGAGGCAGTAAGAGAGGCTAAGGAGAATATGTGATCCTTATATAGGGTGCCCAAACCTCGGGACTTAGGTTTTCATCTGCCAGCTCCTACTCGTTGAGTCCCTACTTGGATTCGTCAAGTAGATCACTAAAGACGCGGACCAACCCACTGCTACTCGGCGAGTAGGGATACCAACTCGTTGAGTAGAACTTGAAATCAAGAAAGTTCTTATGTAAATCAGTTACCTGAAGATCGGGGTGTTATAATTCTCCCCCACTTGAACTAGACTTGATCCTCGAAGTCCATCAAGGCAATCAATGTCAGGTAATGCTGCCGCATCTCGGCCTCCGACTCCCACGTCCACTCGGATCCTCTCTGATGCTCCCACTTCTCCTTCACCAATGGTATCTCCTTGTTCCACAGTACTTTCATCTTCCTTTCCAGAATGGCCACCGGCCTCTCCACATAATTTAAGCGCTCATCAACCTGGATATCATCCAATGACACCACCGCTTCCTGATCCA